GTCAGAAATGTCACTGCTAACTGTATTTGTAAACTTGTTCCCCTTAAAAGCCTACCTCTGCTGCAAAGTAAGGGAGAAGGTCTTGTTTTGTTTCCTTTGATGAAGGAACAGAATATCATTTGTTGGTTCTGAAAAAAGAAGTCAAGTTTAAACATCCGTTTGTTTGCTTAGTGAAATAACACAGGAACAATGTGAAGGTGACCGAACTAGATAGATAGATTGATTGATTGATTTTGATGGTGTTGAACATTAGGGCCCAGGATACTGTTAGCCTTTAGAGGTTTTTGCATTCCAGTAATACCACAATTGGGTTCTGATTATTATTTGATTAGCTGTCCATATCTCTGCAAAGCATTTATGGTAATATAAATAAAATTGGTAGAACTATTTTAAGAATATTAAAAGAACCAGAGTCACATTGATGAAAGGGAAAGTATTTACCTCTGTTAACATCTCTTTTATCTCTGAGGTTTTTTCCTGGTCAAGATAAAACAAAGCGAGGCGGGTGATATGCCAATGTGGGCTGATGGTGCATTGCCCTGGACACAGGCAGGGATTTTGGCAGGCCAGTCTATATTTTAGTGTCAAGATAGTTATGTAGATTTTGGTTTCAGGGACAGTAAGCATCATAGTGGATGACATATTCAGTACTTATTTATGAACAGGAGTATGAGAGGAGTGTAGGTAATCTGGGGAAGTAGTCGTGTTATCTCATGTGTAACCCTGGGAAAGCCTTCTCTCCCCCACATTGAACCATCATGATTACACGGATGATCTCATTTCATTTTCTCAATAATTTTGTGGGATCAGTGTAATTATGATAATAGCCGTTTTGTGAATAAGGACACTGAGGCAAGAGCTACAGAGCTAGAGAATTTAGGACGTCTTTAAATTAGATTAAAATTGGGCTCATACCAGTTGGGAATATATATATGTAGATAAAGATGTGTGTATGGATACTGATGTATAGACATATATGCAGTGTGCTCTTTGGTTTCCATAATATAACCATTTCAGAGACTTTCATGTCAGCAAGGATAGAACTTTTTAATCATTGCATAAAATTACATATTCATATGTACCATAATTAGTAAGACATTTTCTGTCAGTGGACATTTAGGCAATTTCCAGCTTTGGGCTCTTACAGATAGTGCTATGATGAACTCTCTTGCATGTACATTTTTGTGCACATTTGCAAATATCTCTATAAATACCCAAGTAGGATTATTAGGTCAAAGGTGTTGACATTTAAAATCTTTTTTTTTTTTAAAGATTATTTATTTATTTGACAGAGAGAAACAGTGAGAGAGGGAACACAGCAGATCATGATCTGAGCCAAAGGCAGATGCTTAGTGACTGAGCCACCCAGGTGCCCCTGACATTTAAAATCTTGGTAGCTATTCTCAAATTATGCTTTTTCCCCTTGCTTTTCCAAGAGCATTCCTTTCCCTGTATTCTTATGAACACTAGACATTGCAGTCTTTTTTTTCCTCTCTCTCAACTATTCTGTGGGTATTTGAATACCTGGTATTTTCTTGTACTTGAATTTTGCTTCATTTTTAATGAAGCTGAGCATCTTTACATCACTTATTGAACATTAATATTTCTTCATTGAATTCTACTTAATTTCCTTTTCCCTGCTTACACATGCATTTGGTTGAAGTGGTAACATTCTTTGTATATTATGCATATTCATATTTCTTCTTGATATTTAACAATTTTTCCTCCTCATATTTGATTTTTCTTGTAATTTAATTATGGCATATTTTGTTGTCTAGAAATTTTTAGCATTGAATTTTAATCACATAGCTTATTCATTTCTTTGAAGATTTCTAGGATCTGTGGCTTTGTAGGAACATCCTATCTAGCGGATTAAACGTTGTGCCATATTTTCTTTAGGACTTTTAAAGTTTATAAGTTTTTTTTATTCTTGACCAATTGAAATTTTACTTTTGCTATTGATATGAAATAGGATTTTTTTTCACAAAGATATCCCATTCTTTCCCTACTATTTATTAAATAGATCACCCCAACTAATTTGAATAGAAAAGTAGAGGAGTAGAACAGAATAGAACCCCAAAATAGATCTTCCTGAGGGTCCAAACTATATTGCCTTAAAAAATGAAGTTTTATTATATGTTTGATATCTTATAGGGTCTGAGTCCATTCTACTCTTTTCAAACAGTTTGTTAGTTTTCCATGAAAAATGTGAGTGGGGTTTTAATTTTGACTGCCTTGTATTCATAAATTAAATTGGGGCAAACTAACATTTATAGTAATTTAAGAGCATAGATACCTTTACAATATTAAGAATTTTATCCAGGAAAATAATGTGTCATTATACATATTTAGGGCTTTTTGTATTTTCAGTTAAATTTTATAGACAAGGATATCCTTACACATTTATAATTAGTGATTCCTGGGTATTTTATGTTTCTGATCTTTTCTGTCATACTTTCTAAACTGTTTTGAATTTTCTTAATGTTTTTTGGTTACTTTGTAGAACTCTTACTGGTTCTAATAATGTTTATGTTAAATCTTTTGGATTCTTCAAGTAAATGATATAGCTTTCTCTGCACCTAATGAATTCTGGCTCTTCTTTGAAAAAGAAAATTTATTAGATTATTACATGTAATATATATTATATTATTTATAGGTTTTTCCTATGTACCCACATAATTTACCAGACTATGAGCAACTTGAAGATGAAAAGTATCTTACATTATTTCTTTTCTACAAAATGAAATAGTGATATAGTCCTCTGATTGCTAGCTACCTCAAAAATTGCTTAAAACACCATTTTCCAATATGGAATCATACAGTTAATTGCTTTATTTAGTTTCAGGATAACCCCAAATGAACTTTATAAACCAGACCAGTTGAGGAAGAACACTCTGACAGCAGAGTATTTTGGGATCCTGAAAGAAGTCAGGAAGGTGTTAATTTATTGGAAACAGTTCTCCCATACTTATATTTTACACACACACACACACACACACACACACACACACACACGAATACACACACATATTTATTGCCTTACTCTGTGGTAGCAAAATTGAGCCCTGTTCCAGGGTGGATATCGATTGAATCTTTGTTCTACAGTCAATATATATTCTTGGACTTTCAGCAGATGTAGACAAGCCGCAGACATCAGTGGAGTAATTTCCAGTCATATCTGCCTGTAGTTTGCAGGACATGTAAGTTCCAGATCCAGCTAAAATTTTTTTGTGTGTCTTTAAAGGTTGCTCTCCTAGGCATGTTGCTTTGTAGTCCACTCAGCTGTCCGTGTTTTCTAAAAGAAGGAGATATAGGTATGGATTTTTTTTTTGGGGGCCTAGGACCCTATATTTGAAATGTGCATTCTAGGTCTTCTACACTCAGATATAGGAATTCTTGTTTATTCTTTAAGACTCATCTCAAATATTTTGCCCTTCATGAAATTCTCTTTCTCCAGCAAGTGAGAAAGATTACTTGGCATATTCATCTGTTACATCAGGTATCACGTTATATACTGTGTTGTTTACATTGATTTCTGTATCCCTGCTAAGCTGTGAGCTACTTGAGACCATACCTTCTCCAATGTCCACAACTTCCAGTGTCTGACGTGGAGAAAGGTACAAACCCTATTAGAAATATGTGTTTGGATGCAGTGATGTTTATTATGGTGGGGAAATGTGGTAGAGATCAAATGAGTGGCTTGAAGCCATGAAAACATGTTGAAAGTCAGGAAGAAAAACAGTATTCATCCTGGTACAAATATTATAAATGACATGATTTTGATAAATTTATACCACACTACATCTGCGTCTATATATACAGCATATATTCCTGATTTATAGGTTACCATATATAGTGTACGAGAGTTGCCAGTTTTCCAGTAACACGAATGTAGAACACACCTGGACCAGCAGGACCAGCTTTATCGGTGATAGATTTGGTTTCTTTCATCTCTGACCTTCTGTTCTGCTTTCTTTTTTAATTTATAGCTTCTTGTGTATATTAAAGCTTCACCTAGATTTTAAGATTTTGAAGACATTACAGAGTTTTTTCAGGAATAGTTTAGATACTTAATATATATTGAATTTAATTTAAAAATGTCAGTTTTTATTATTACATGTTCATTGGACTTGGTGAATTACACATTTCTTTCTTTTAGATATTCCTCAGTGACTTGAGTAAGGGATGGTATACCTATTTCTAGTTACTTTTCAAATAGAACAAACTCAGAAGAAATAAGGACAATCATGTTTTGGTTTTAATAAGTGTTTTTGAAAATGGAGGAAACGATTGACATAATATTTAGGAGAGCTGATGCCATCCTGGTTCTCTGCAACTCTTAAGCAGTATTTTGATAGTCATTTTGTAGAAAGGCTCACTGAGAATCTAGCATGGATCTACATGCAAGTAAAATAAGAGAGGACAAATGAGAGCATCGCGTGCTCTGTGCAGTATATATGTGCTACCAAAGCGAGCTGCTCAGTACAGTATAGAAGTCAGTTTCAGTGATTCTGTGACTGAAATAGAATTATTGTACCGACATACCACAACGCTGGGGCACGTGTAGGTCATAGCATGAAAGGGACTCAGTGCGGATGTTTGCTTAGGTAGTAGCTTCAAGGTCCTTCTCCATGGTTCCATCAGGAACCAGTAGAGCATTGCAGCTAATATGGTATACTCCGATTCCATAAAAAGCAGTGAATATTGCTATTCAAATAATACATCCTGTGGCTGCTCTTGTCTCTCAATTCATTAAAAGTGATAGAATGGCATACATTTCAAAATGTAAGTTATTTTTATTCTGATTGAGTTTTCCTTTTCTTAACATCTCCATTGCTTTTGGAGAGAAAACAATGGTTTCAATTTCTTTGAAACAAAGAAATTCATGGTAAAAAATTTTTAATTTATATAGGTTTAGATACTTAGCAGATTTTTTTTTTTTTTAAATCAAGAAAGCCATCTTTCTGTATTGTCATCTTCTTGTTGACCTCCTCCTACAGGTTTTCAGCACATACTCCAATGAAGACTATGACAGGAGGAACGATGAAGTGGACCCTGTGGCTGCTTCTGCTGAGTATGAGCTTGAAAAACGTGTAGAAAAGCTGGAACTTTTCCCAGTGGAACTAGAGAAAGGTATGTGAGCTCCACAACATTTGTAATCTCACTATATGGCTATTTTAGCAACACAGAAATGACTTTATTTTTCTCACATGTAGCCTTTTTCCCCCCAAAGGGTTGGATAAAGTGTTAATTCTCATGGAGGGTTTAATTTGTTTATTAAATTTCAAAAGTAGTTGATATGACCTCTGCATAGATGGTAGACTCGAAGACTTTCTTCCCTTCTGCTTCCAATGGAAAGCCATCAGCTTTAGTTGGCTGGGATGGTGCTGGGAGTAGGGCTGCCTTTTTATTTCTGCTCTGGGAATCTTAGCCTGCTTGTAGTGGGAAGTGAGGACCCAGGGGCCCAGAGATTGCCATGTTTATCGTCCTGTAAGATGGGCACCAGGAATGGACTGGGACTCAGTGAACAGGGAGATAATCACATCTCAGAGAGCTTACAAAAAAGCAGAACAAACAGATGAAAACTTGAATGACAAAAAGAAGCAAATGAAAAACCAAGTGAGGATATCAAGTATGGCTTTAGAAAGACATTCTTAAGCCAGTCAACAAACAACAAAAACATTGATTTTAAAATGTAAAATTTCAGTAGAGGAATTGAAGAGGAAAAGATGGTATTGTTGAGATTCAAACTGGTGACCTCGAAGGTCAGGCCTAAGAAATGAGCCAAACTAATTCTTTTTTTTTTTTTTTAAAGATTTTATTTATTTATTTGACAGAGAGAGATCACAAGTAGAGAGGCAGGCAGAGAGAGGGAGGGAAGCAGGCTCCCTGCTGAGCAGAGAGCCTGATGTGGGACTCGATCCCAGGACCCTGAGATCATGACCTGAGCCGAAGGCAGCAGCTTAAACCACTGAGCCACCCAGGCGCCCCAAGCCAAACTAATTCTTAAACAACAGAGCAAACATCCATGAAAAGTCATGACAGAGACCCAACATATAAACTACAGGTGACAGAAGGGGAAAAGTCAGCAGAGGATGAGAGACATATTAGACAAAACATGGACATTAGACAAAACAATTTTTCCTGAGCTCAGAAAAGACTTGAGTCTCCTATTTGGAAGGGGTTAGCCAACTGATTGAGAGAGGACTTGAAAAACACCTGTACTTAGGCATGGCCTGGGAGAAGTCCTCATCATCAACATATAAAGTAGGAATTTTACAAAATACTGCACTCAAATCAGCGCAAACAAAGAAGCAAAGGTACTTGCCAAAGCCACATTATTAGACTAGCATCAGATTTCTCACTTGTAACACTGGACGTGGGAGGCAGACATACCGTTTCACGCATCGAAGAATCCCGTATCTGTCCCAGAGAGCTCTTCTCCTGGTGAAAGAAGGAAAGTTGCTGTATCTAAGGATCTAAAGGACACATCACCTGCCTACTTCCCGATTAGCAAGGGGGAAAAGAAACAACAACTTGTTCTAAACAGCAAAGGTGAGGGGAAAAGAGTTGAAAACAAATTATTGGGCATAAAATTACTTGGGTTACAAAAACGTAAAGAATACCAGTCATTACACCAGACATGACTGGCTAATTGTTCCCATTAAGAGACACTTTTCATTTGGGGTTAAAAAGATGTAAGAATGATACTTACATTTTTCATTCGTTTAAGATGTAAAAACCATTCCTAGCTTATGGTCCATACGAAAACAGCTGTGGGATTTGGCTGTGGGCCACTGTATTGCTTATAATAGCAAAAATGAGTATAATCCAAATATTCATTAATAACAGAAAAGGGTAAAATGAAGGAGGCTCAGTTCTATGCAGTAGTGTGTATGATTCTTACAAACATGAAATTGAGGGGGGGGTGGAGATAAAAAGCAAATCACAGAAGAAGCCATTCAGTATAATTCCATTTATTTAAATTTCAAAGCCAGTGAAAATTAAATGGCGTAACGTTTAGAGATACACAAATAAATGGTTTTAATAAGTAGTTTTAAAAATGGGGGGGAATGATTGACACAATATTTAGGACAGTGGTTACCAAGGGAAGAGTTATGATACCAGGGAGGGGTACAGAATGGGCTTTTCAGGTGTTGGTAGTATTCTGTAACTTGGTCAGTTTTATTTTTCTTCTTTAAACACAATGTTTTGTAAGTAAATGTTTTCATAGACTCTTTTGTGTTTTTCACAAAATCAAAGTTGAAGCTAGGAAAATTAAGCTAGAAAAGAACTAAATTATTTTCAGTCTTTCGAGAAGCCTCCATCCTGTTTCCCCAAAATGGCTGTACCAGTTTGTGTTCCCAGCAACAGTGCACAAGGGTTCCCCTTATTCTGCATCCTTGCCAACACTTGTTACCTCTTGTTTTTTGGATGATAGCCATTCTAACATCCTAACTCTAATAAGGTGATTTCTCACTGTAGTTGTGATTTGCATTTCCCCGATGATTAGTGATGTCGAATACCTTTTCATGTAACTGGTGGCATTGTATGTCTTCTATGGAAAAATGTCTATTCGCTTCCTCTGCCTATTTTTAATAGGTGTTTGGTTTTTGCTGTTGAGTTGCATGAGTTCTTTATATATTTTGGATATTAACCCCTTACCAAGTATTTTCTCTCATTCTGGATGCTGTCTTTTCATTCTGCTAATGGTTTCCTTTGCTGTGCGGAAGTTTTTTTAGTTTGATGTAGTCCCACTTGTTTATTTTTGATTTTGGTGTCAAATCCAAAAAGTCATTGCCAAGACTGATGTCAAGGGACTTACCTGCTATTTTCTTCTAGGAAGAATGTCAGCTTTCAATCCTTTTGAGTTGGTTTTTATTTATGGTATAAGATAGGGGTCCAGTTTCATTATTTTATATGTGTCCATTTTTCCCAGCACCATTTATTTGAAGTGGTCATCCTTTCCCTGTGGTATATTCTTGGCTTCTTTGTCATAAATTAATTGACCCAATATGCATAGGTTTATTTTAGAGCTCTCTTTTGTGTTCCACTGATCTTTGTGTCTGTTTTTATGGCAGTACTGTACTGTTTTGATTGCTGTTGCTTTGTAACATGGTCTAAAACCAGGAAGTGTTATGCTTCTAGCTTTGTTCTTTATTGAGTTTGCTTTAGCCATTTGGAATTTTTTTTGTAGTGCTATAATTTTAGAATTGTTTGTTCTATTTCTGTGAAAAAAGTCATTGAAATTTTGATAGAGATTGAATTGAATTTGTAGTTTTCTTTGGGTAGTATGGATATTTTATTAATATTAATTCTTTGAATCCTTGAGTATGGACAATCTTTCCACTTATTTGTGTCTTATTTAGTTTCATTCATCAGTGTCTTACAGCTTTCAGAATTTCTGATCTTTCACCTCCCTGGTTAAGTTAATTCCTAGGTATTTTATTCTTATTGATGCAATTGTGAATGGAATTCTTTTCTCCTCTTTTTTAAAAGATTTATTTATTTATTTTTAGAGAGAAAGAGGGAGCACATGTGGTGGGGGGAGGGGCAGAGGAAAAGGAGGAGAGAGAATCTTAAACAGGCTTCACACCCAACATGGAGCCTAATTCAGGGCTCAGTCTTTGGACCCTGAGATTATGACCTGAGTTAAAATCAAGAGTTGGATGCTGAACCAGCTGAGCCACCCAGGTGCCCCAGGAATTATTTTCTTAATTGCTCTTTCTGATAGTTTGTCAGTGTGTGAAGATCTAAATATGATGCAGACTATATATTATAACACCAAACAGAGAATTTTACTTTTATATTAAGGAAGCATTTAAAAAAGTAAATTAATGAAGTAATTAATAAATTAATTACTTTTAAATTAAGGAAGCATTTTAAAAAGTAAATAAACTATTTCAGTTAAAACCAGGGGTCTGATGTGAAATGCTCTTTAAATGAAATAGTATAAATGGTAGAAAACAAAAGATGAAAAGTAACCTTTTGCTGATTTTTATTATATAATATGTATAATAATTACATATATGAAAACTGTAATGAGAAGCTGAACTAATTCTAATTTTAAAATATTAGAATTGATAAGATTATATGTAAGAAGAGGTCAGGTGCCACATACATATAAGAAAATTTATCATTTTTTCTCTATATTTACTCAAGCACATAAATATGAAAATGGGAATGTTTCATTTACAATAGCACAAAAAGAACAAAATGCTTATTAATCATGAAGATAAAAAATATTTATCTGTTGAAAATCCATCTTTTTGACTGATAGAAGATGTAAACAAATAGAAGGATGTATCATACTCTTGGATGAAAAGACTCAGTATGGAAAAGTTCCTCCTATTCTTCCTCTCTGATACCTATAAATTAATACATAAATTTAATGCAGTTCGAATAGAACTGCCATCAGTGTTGATTGGGAGAGTGGATTGCATAATGTAATACTAAATTATATATGGAAAAATAAAGACCTAAGGGAAGTCTGAAAAAGAATGTGAAAGGTCTTCATTTCTTAAATATCTGAATATAATGTAAAGCCTCTATAGTCAGAGCAAATCGTATTCACAGAGCAAGTGATCAGTGGAACAAGGTAGAAAATCCAGAGAAAGATGTTAGGATGCGTGAGAATTTACTACATGACATGTATGGTATTCTAATTTAGGAGCAGTAGGGTGCTTTACAAATTGTTCTGGCATAACTAAGCACCACTCTGGAAGAATATAAAGTTGGACACCTTCATTTGTGTTATATCATGTGAAGAAACAAATCCTCATGGATTGGATAGTTAAATATTAAAAATAAAGTAATAAAGGTATTTGACAAAAAATTTATAAGACCGCATAAATCCTGTAGGCATGTTGGAGGAGGGGCTCGACCAAAGTGGGAAAGCAGAAGTTAGAAAAGGAAAGAGGGACCAGTCAATCAATCCAAAATTTTAAGCTTTTAAAGGCAATATTGTCAAACAAAGGCAATAGATAAATGATAAATTTGAGGGGGGCATCTTCGTTATAAATGACATGGAGTTAATATGTATAATATGCTAAGAACCTTCAAAAAGAAAAAAAAGACAGGGAAAACTCTTTAGAAAAACATGGTAGTTTACTGAAGAGGACATCTAATGGTCCACGCTCCTACGAATACAGTCTCAGATCTCACGAGCAATAAGGGGAATGCTAAGCCAACATGAGCTTCTTTCCTAAGAGAAAAAATAAGCTCTGAGCTCCAGAGTGTGGCGACAGCATCTTTCCTAGTAACTCAGCATCACAGTCTTTTCTGCCGTTTCCTGGCTGCTGTGCCTACTTAGTGCTTGGCCTGTCCCTAGGAGGGGATAGACAGAGGAAGACCGGGTGGCTCCTGGGTTCCTGCAGTCACAAGAATCCATGGCCTTCCACGATAGGGCTCTGGACTTCACCCATGCCTGACACATCTCACAGAAAGCTAGCAGAGATGAAATGAGGCATCTGGTCTCTGTGTGGATTGTGTTCTTCCTTTAATTGTCTCTCTGTTATACATCTTATCTTTCAGGCAGTCAGCACTGGAATTGAGGATGGCTCAAGCTACTATCACTTTTCCAACAATTGGGCTTTCAGCTCTGCAAATCTGAGTAATTTTCCAGTGAGAGCAACAGAGTTGCTAAGGCAGGAAGAAAGATAATTTTACTAAAGCCTGAGTCCAGGAAGGGAAATGCACTTAAAAAATGAAGACATAATTTTCATGCAGGCTATTTACAAGAAGGAACTACTTAATGACATGATGGTACAGAGAATCCACATTTGAAAGGAGTTCTTTGAATGTACTGAGTGTGAGAAAGTTTCACTTATAGCCCAACATTGGCTTGACATGGGGTAATTCATAATGAAGAGAAGCTCCTGTAAATACAATGAATGTGAACAAGAATTCAGCTAAATGCTTAATATATACCAGATTTCATATGGGAGAGAAGCCTCATGGCATTATTTAGTGTGGACGAGTCTGCAGTGATCATCCCTTAAACGACCAAGAGCAAACACTCTGGGAGAAACACTTACATGTATGTAAACACTGGGAAGGCTTTGGGTCATCATTCATCCTTTCACCAACACGAATAGATTTCCACACCAGGAAACTCTAGGAATATGATGAATGTGGGCAAGAGTTCAGCTGTATAGCTAACCTTCTATACAAATAGGACAATTCCTGTGAGAGTGAGGAAACTTATACATGGGACCAGTGAGGAAGAGCCTTTAGCACAGATCTAATTTTTCTTCTCCCCAGAAAACTCGTACTGGAGAGAAATCCTAAATGTTGGAAATTTTTTAACCAGAGAAAGCCTCTGGACGAACTTGAGTATCTATACCAGAGAAACAATGAGAATGAAATGAATGTGGGAAATCACATGTGTGCAGACATTCTAAATACAAGGAATGAAAGAACTTCTCCGGCGATGACTTGTACACTAGTCACCATTAAAATTCTCATGCTGGGGACGCCTGGGTGGCTCAGTTGGTTAAGCAGCTGCCTTCAGCTCAGGTCATGATCTCAGCATCCTGGGATCGAGTCCCACATCGGGCTCCTTGCTTGGCAGGGAGCCTGCTTCTCCCTCTGCCTCTGCCTGCCACTCTGTCTGCCTGTGCTCACTCTCGCTCCTCTCTCTGACAAATAAATAAATAAAATCTTAAAAAAAAAAAAACAAAAAAAACTTCTCACGCTAGAGGGGCACCCCTGCCTAAAATCAACGCGGAAGTACGTTCATCTGGGGATCATATTGATCAGGTCCTCCAGGGAGAACACTCTACGGAGCTCTCTTTAGCACACAACTGAGTAAACAAATCACACTTTTCCCAAATGATATGTAGAATACAGATGTAGGATTATAAATTGGACTTAAAAACACTTAAAGCAGAAGTTGGTGACAAGTAGTAATGATCAATGAGATCAGCCCTGTTCAAGTGATTACTGATTAAGAATGCTTAGTGTATTAAATGTTATTGCTAAGAAGTCTTAAAAGCTTCAAGCATTCTGCTGACTGGATGAGCCAGTTTTCCTTTGACAACCCTTTGTTGTTGATTAGAGAGTGTCTGTTTTTTTATGCAGCCCATACAATATGGTTCCAAAGATTTTGAGGCTATCAGCCAATAACTTTCAGTGTTGACCAAAAAATGTAGAATGTGAAATCTTTTATTATTATCTTTTATCTTATATTTCCTTGATGTTAAGATACATATGTTCATGGAAATATGGATAAACACATTATTGTAAAGGAATTTAAAAACGTTTTTGTCAGTGTTGTTCACCAGAAGAGGAACATGGAAACTAAAATGAATGCCTGTCAGTAGAGAAGTGGTTGTGTAAGTTATGATACCATCTCACCATGAAATATTACGCAATTATTAGAAGTGATTTAAGGCTATGTAAGTTGATATCCATGAAGTATCATTGAATTAGCTGCAGAGAGAACTAGCTTTAATACGATCTTATTTGTATAAAGCAAATAGGAAGGAAAAATGAGCCATTGTTTATACACACATATACATATATGTATATACATTTATATATATGCATATATACATATATATTATAGCTGTTGATACTTTAAATGCTTGGATAGTAGGAAAGTACTGAAAGACACATGCTACCTTATTAAAGATGAATGGGGACATGAACCAAAAAACCAAAGACCATGTAAATGAAGGGGAAATTTTAGATATATTATGATCACATTCATTTAAAATAATATATATGTGTTTGGTATGTATGCTTTTGTGTTTGAAATGTATTATTTAGAGAGGGTGTGTTTTAAGGCAGATTGATTACTCCATGATCAAATTACTGCTTTTTCTTGGGATCGCAAATGAATAGCCAACTGCAGTAATAAAATGAGATTAAACTCACAAGCCTTTTGGGGGGCTCCTGTTTAACATCTTTGCTCCCCAGCAGCGTAGAAAAAAATATTCTGCCAAGACAAATGTGTTGTGAATGTGTCATATAGTCCCTGAAGAACAAAACTAAAAGCAAAAAAAAAAAACCAGGTCTCACCACCTGATTGTGGGCTAGTGTAAAACTTAGGTTGTTGCATTGTTTTTCCCTTTTTCATAGATGAGGATGGACTTGGAATAAGCATTATTGGAATGGGTGTTGGAGCAGATGCCGGACTTGAAAAGCTGGGAATATTTGTCAAGACAGTAACAGAAGGTGGTGCTGCTCAGAGGGATGGCAGGTGAGCTAACTACGGTTGTTAATAACTAAAATCTTCTAGGAACTTTACTGGGAATTTCTTTCAGTGGTAGCTTTCTTCTTTTGATTTTTTTAGGGCAGAATTATAGAGTGTGTCTCAGAAATGGAAAAGGTTAAAACACTTGAATTACTTTCTGATGCCAGTAAAATGCCTGCTTTCTTTAATGTATATTAGGTAAATGGGTGGTTGGGTCTTCTGTCTCCGTCTGTCTCGCTTTGGTACCTATCCCATCATCCCTCTGTCTAGTGGGAAATGGGGAGAAACGTGGGTGTATATTGTTTGGGAATATGTCCTGTGGAGATCAGCATATAGTTTTCACTTCAGAAGTATTGAGACAAGTGGTAATATTTCTGGCACTTTTGAGAATGACAGAGGTAGAAGGGATAATAGGAACCTTAACCCTGCAATGATGATAATTCTGGAAATCACATTTTTCAAAATGTATTCTGTCTGAAAACACAAGTTCTTGAGTGCTAACTAAACCTGTGGAATTAAATGTTCTGGAGAGGACTCCAACAGTCTTTACTTAAGTGTCCGCCTTGGGTAATCTGGGTGGACACCAGCATGTTGGCTGATTGTTGTTTTAAGTCTTAGCTTTCGTCATCTCAGCCTGCAAGTATCTCTAAAGATTCTGATGAATCCCCACTCAGCATTCCTGGTGCATCAGGTTGGGGCTGAAGCAGGGGTTGGCAATAGAACTAAAAGTAGGTCCAGCATTATGAGGGCCAAATTCAAAGAAAGGTCATCTTATTTTTTTTAAGAGCACAGAGTAACTGGCTTTGATTTTTTTTCAAGTTTTAAGTGTATCTCACTTAACCATATTATCAAGAAATGATAAAGCATGTTGAAAATCATTTGTAAATCTCCTGTGGGACACATAGTAGCATTATTTCTTTTATAATCCTAAGTATACATATTGATATACACAGATACTGTCCAAGGGGAATTAAATTGATTTATTTAAAAAGAAAGCCACACCAGTATCATCTCGTTCCATGAGGTTTGGGTCCACATCTGTCAGTAGCCTTATTTGTATAGCCTTCACTTGAACAGAGAAGGTCTGACATGAATCTTTTGAGTGAATGTTCAGTTGAGTGAATGTGTATCACACTTAAAGTAGGATATTAATATTTTGTGCTACAAAATAACTTGTTAACAGTCTTCCTCATTTTTCAGGTGGTTAAGGAAATAACCTCTTTACCCTTTCAATGAATTATACAATGGTAGTAGCATAAATTTCCCATTATTGATATAGAAACTTTCTTCCAAGTGAGCTAAAATTTGTTTGTAAAATTTGTGTCATTTCTCTTTAAGTTTCATGAAAAATTTAAAAACTATTCCACAATGATAGGAAATACTTCTTCTTGTTAGTATTCAAATAATATGAAATTATTATGAACCATCTCTCTTAAGTTACTTGGGCCACAAAACCAAACCAAAATAGAAATTAATTAAAAAATAAAAAGGTAGAAATTTTTGCATTCAGCACTTAGCCAGTTCCCATTATTCTAAACTCAGACCGTTTTGTTTTCCCACCACTCACTTTTAAAATTAAGTTTGTTTTTCGTTAACCTGTTTTCTTACTTGTCGTCCTACATAGGTTCAGTATTTCCACTGGCAGGAGAACTTGGCTCTGTCAAACCCAGTGTGCATTTCCTCAGTCCTTTGAAATGGATGTTTACCTAGGATAGTAATCCTGCTGTTATTACAATAGATGCTTAATAAATGCCTCAGTGAATATCCTAAGGAAGGCAATTTGATGAAATGAGCAGAATCTTTGGGAACATGTGACCAGGAGTCTCATTCTGTTCCCTCTACTTAACCAGATATAGGATATTGAACAAATCAGCTTAATTTTCATGTTATCTACATTGCAGGGTTGCTGTAAGCATTCAGTATGCCTATGTAAATTAAAACCTTCCACAGTGCTGTCTGTGTATGAAACTGTTCTTGAATGAAGTAGGAATAAGCTTGAAATTTATTTAAAAATAGTTATTATGAGAAGTGTTATGAAAAACTATAGAAAGATATATAAAATATGTATAGAATCATGAAATTTTATTTTATTTAATTTATTTATTTTTTTAAAAGATTTTATTTATTTATTTGTCAGAGAGAGAGAGGGAGAGAGAGCAAGCACAGGCAGACAGAATGGCAGGCAGAGGCAGAGGGAGAGGGAGAAGCAAGCTCCCTGATGAGCAAGGAGCCTGATGTGGGACTCGATCCCAGGACGCTGGGATCATGACCCGAGCCGAAGTCAGCTGCCTAACCAACTGAGCCACCCAGGCGTCCCTAGAATCATGAAATTTTAAAAGTACAGAGGAACTTTAGAGATCTTTAAATTCATACCTTTTGTTTTATATGTGTTTACAAATTGAGGATATATATGTGTATATATGGTCTTATTATTAGACCTGTGGAAGTGTTCACATCTTTAAAATTATATTATTATTCCCACCATTACTGTTGTGCTCATTTGCACAATATTTAAATGCATGTTGTTTAAAATTTATTAGTGTAAAATAATTACAAAAAGAACAGTTGATTGCTTCCTCAAGTTAATTTTTTTTTGAAAGCTACGTCTACTTGATGGATATAGAAAAATATCCTTTAAGGATTTACGAAGCACTATGATCAGTGTGAGACCATTCTTCTGTGGATATGTTTTCTATTTTTCATCCCTCCCCCAACTTCTCTTTCTCTTTCTCTCAAAAAATTAGAATTAATATATACCAAAATATTGAATGGCTCTAGTCCATGTGGGCTTTTTAAAAAAAATTTCAGCTAATATAGAATATTTCATTTTTCTACAGAGAATTTATAAGACTTGTATATATATATATATATATATATATATATATACACACACATATATATATATGTGTATATATATATATATATATATATAAAACTACAACTAAAAATAATAAAGTTATCATGTGCCCTCAGGAAAGTTACTCTTCAGACCTCAGTTATGGACAAAATGAAAGTTATGGATTAGGTGTTCTTTAAAAAGGATTAAAGTTTTTTTTTTTTTTTTTGAACCCTTCTCGCTTACTTTAGATTCTTTCTTTTTCTTTTCTTTTTTTTTTTTTTAGAGACAGAGAGAGAGTGTGTGTGCACTAATAGGGGAGGGGCCAAGGGAGAGAGAAATAAGCAGACTCTGGGAGGCTTGCGGAGCTGGACGTGGACGAGCCTGACAGCGGGCTCCATTCCCGTGACCCTGAGGTCATGACATGGGCTGAAATCAAGAGTCTGTCCTTAACTGGCAGAGCCACCCAAGTGCTCTTTGCTTTAGTTTCTTAGATCTATTTAAGAAAATCATTTCAATTTAATCTCCTATTCAGTCACGTTACCTTCAAGATATGTTAAATAAACAGACTTATAGACTAACCCAAAGCATTCTTTCCTCCCTTCTCCCCATTCACTGCCCCCGCACAAGAAACCTTTTTTGATTGCTTTAACTCCTTCTAAGCATCTCATAAACTCACCATATTTTGAGCACTTTTGAAAATTTGCCATGAGCATTTGTCTCTAGTGCATCCAGGGTGTAGTTAAAAAGTTTTGAATCTTCCTTACTTTTTGATAGTGTGTTCTACATTCGAAATTTTCTTTTGTCAAGCTTTTCTTATCTGTCTGTACCTTGTCATATGATGCCTGAAATATAGGGGTGCTCAGTAAGTACTTGTTGATGAGTGAATCTGAATACTTGCGCGTTAACCACTTTCAGAACATTTACTTAGGCCTAACGTTTTCCTGCCCAATGCCACTCTCCCTCCCTTCTTTTTCTTTTCTCTCCCTCTTTCTCCTTTTTGTGCTACCCTGCCTCTTACAGAGTAACTTGCAATTTAGCTAAGTGACATGAGTCGGTAGCCATTTCCACCATCTATTTTAGTTTTACATTTTTATTTTTATGTTTTTAAATATTTATTTATTTATTTATTTATTTGACACACAGAGAGAGATCACAAGTAGGCAGAGAGGCAGGCAGAGAGAGAGGGGGAAGCAAGCTCCCCGCTGAGCAGAGAGCCCGATGCGGGCCTCGATCCCAGGACCCTGAGACCATGACCTGAGCTGAAGGCAGAGGCTCAACCCACTGAGCCACCCAGGCGCCCAGTTTTACATTTTTAGTAAAAGAATAAGTACAAGTGTCATTAAATACGATTAATTTTAGTAAAATAAATATTAATCTTAGTACATTTTATTTATTATTAAATAATAATTCTTTTATTATATTAAAATTAATATTTAGTAAAAATAATGTTTATGATAAAACCATTAGTTTTGCTGCCATCCATTTTACGATTGGTATACAGGACATGAATTATTTCTCCAGTTCTCTTTCATGAATCTGTAAAGCAAAATCAACTTTAAGATACCACAGTTGAAGATGCTTGTAGTGGAGTAAGCCCTGACAAACAATGGGAATGACACTGTGCTAAAGGCAAATTAAAAATGCATTTGGGATCTGCTTTGTTTCTGGCTCCTAGGTTTGTTTCTCAGGCGTTTGCATGTCATCATTTGAGAACACTGTCCTGGTCAGGAGTTTTTGAAAAAGTTATCAAATGTGAAAGGAGGGTGTTATGTAGTTTACCTTCATTCAAGCCTCTCAGGATTTTCAGATGATTTTAATTGTTCTTGACCAGCTTTGGGTAGCAACAACACATAAAAAGATGAAGAGTTTTACTCTTAACTTCCCTTGCAGCAGACGCCCCCTGGGGCAGGACCCATCTGTGTCCCCGGGGTGCCCCTCAGGCCCGGGACAACCTGAATGAAACTGCTGTTTTAATTGCGTCCATCTGTCATAATCCCTTAGTCAAGGGTTTCCTCTTAGTGCACACACCCCGTGTCACTCTCCTCATCAAATATTTTGCTTGTTCACCCCTTAGAGAGTTGGGATATTACTGCTTTGATATGGACATATTTTCATATACGTTTAAAACTTCACTATGTGGCATTTTAGGGAAAATTGTGTTGACCAG